TTGAATTAGATTCTAACGAATTGAATTACAGCACATAAATGAAGTATGAACGTTCTAAGGTTAGCGAGAAGAGCAGCTAAAGTACAGAAAGTAAAGCAAGTTTAATGCGAAGACCCCTTAAATAGATAGGCGAATCAAACTGAATGAATTCGCGGCAGTTGAAAAAGTGAAATGTGAGAAGTGAGTAAGTAAACGATAAAGGCCTTTGTATGCACTCACACAAGCGAAGCAGCTGTAGACTCCGACATCGTGTCCTTCTATACAAAAGAAGTGCCATCTGCGAAGTCACGTGCGTAGCCTAACCGCGGTAGTGCTGAACGCTATGATGAAATCAGGCTACGTAGAAAACAAAAACTAAAGCTTACGGTGTAAATCAGTAACAAATGAAGGGCGTGAAAGTCGCCCGAGAAACTTATCACCGAGGAATGTCTTCCTAATAGCAGTATCTAAAACATCGTCATTTCAGTCATTACATCTTTGTACTCCATTCTATGGCTTTTCATTTCATAGGTAGAAAGCCGAATGATTGTTTTATCGATTAAAATCAATTTAACAGGTGAATACGACCAAGCCACAGTTATGTTTGCCGACGTTCCGAACTTCCAAGCTATACTACCCCATGCTCAACCAAAAGACATCGTGCAGATGCTCAACAATTTGTTCCATCGATTCGATCGATTGGTGGCAATGCACCAGGTGAAGAGCTTAGCTTGTAGCGTGGTCGTGACGGTTGTGCTTTTTTTCAAAATAAAGTCAGAGCTTGCTAAGATGGCTCTGCTGCGGTCAAGAGGGCCGCTTGACCAAGCGCTTTTCTGTTCGTCTGACCCTTCATCGGCCTCACAGTGAGTCGAACCTAAACTCTGTCCCGGTGCGAGGGTGCATACGAGCATAAAATGGGCGTGCCTCAGTCTGGCCGCTACTCGCCCACCCCAACTACACCACCGTCGACAAAAATGCAAGTATTAATACTAAGTGCTCACACTTATGTTCAAATGGGATCCGAGATAAGCGACAGGTTGTGACGCGATCTACACTTCATTTTATTGAACTTGGTATTGAAGGGACACGATGACAGTGTGGATGAAGCAGGGCACATCGTTGTTGGGGAATCCCCAACAGGGAGGGTCGTATCTGGCCGCCAGGAGCGGGGGTCGTTTCAAAGCTAGGACGTCACCCGGAAGTGGCGCGCAGAAACGCCCTCGCACGATTTTTTTTTTTTTTGTTCTGTGGTCAGTATGCGAGGGCTACCGAGGGGTGAACGACCTCGGCCAAAGAAGCTAGTTCGAATCGGGACCCTGAACGTGGGGTCGCTTACCGGGAAGTCTCGTGAGGTTGCCGACCTCATGAGACGGAGGAACATCCAAGTGCTATGCCTCCAGGAAACGCGATGGAAGGGTGCGAAGGCCCGCGAGATTGGAGAAGGTGTCAAACTCTTCTACAATGGAGCAGACACCAAACGGAATGGCGTGGCCATAGCGGTAGCTGAATCCCTCAAGGACTGCGTCTCTTCCGTGAACAGAATCTCTGATCGTATCATGGGAGTGAGAATGGACACAAGGGAGGGGTACTGGACTGTGCTGACCATGTACGCACCACAATCCGGTTGCTCCGAGGCGGAAAAAGGATGAGTTCTACCTGACCCTGGACGAGGCCATAAGATCGGTTCCGGAAGAGGACTACCTCACCATAGCTGGGGATCTGAATGGCCATGTTGGGAAGGACAGAAGAAATCTAGAAAGGGTGCACGGAGGGCAAGGAATAGGGACAAGGAACGCTGAGGGAGAACGAATCCTTGACCTAGCCACAGCCCACGACTTAGCAATCTGTAGCACCTTCTTCGCGAAAAGGAGAACTCAGAAGATAACCTACAGCAGTGGAGGGAGACAAACGGAAATTGACCATGTCCTGGTCAGAAGATCGTCTCTCAAAACCGTCAAGGACATCAAGGTGCTACCTGGAGAAGAGCTGGCCCCGCAGCACAGGCCTCTCCTGGCAGATATCGCCATAGACCTCCCCAAGAAGACGAGGGTGAGAGCAGAGAGGAGAATCCGGTGGTGGAAAATGAGCAGGGTAGAAAAGGTTAGCCTCGGCCAAAGAATTCTGAAGGCTGGACTTCCAGACCCACATGGGCCAGTCCAGGACACCTGGACCCACGCAGTCGAGCTCATCCTACAGTGCGCAAAGGAATCTGGGAGAGACCCGGGGTGGCATCAAAGGAGACAAGGCAGCCTGGTTCTGGAACGAGGAAGTCCAGCGGGTCGTCAAGCAGAAGAAAGAAGCATATAAACGCTGGCAAAAGACAAGGAGTCCAGAAGACTTGGCTGCCTACAAAAGCTGCAAGCGACTCGCTAAGGCAGCCGTTGCTAAGGCCAAGAATACGGAAATGGACGCCCTGTACGACAAGCTAGAGGGCCGAGAAGGGGACAAGTTCGTCTTCCGCCTGGCCAAAGCTCGACATCGCGGTGCTCAGGACATCAGGGTAGTAAAGACTGTGAAGAGCAGCAATGGGGCCATTCTCAGGAAACCAGCCGAAGTCAGGAAGAGATGGGAAGAATACTTCGAGGGACTTCTAAGCGAAGAATTCCCCCGCAAGGACAGCCCACAGATAGAGGCGACGGCAGGCCCCATCGCTCCCTGGACGGAAGATGAAGTCCGCCGAGAGCTAGGCAGAATGAAGGTGGGGAAAGCAGTGGGTCCAGACGGGGTGCCGATAGAGGCATGGAAGGCCCTGGAGAGCATGGGGTGAGTTGGCTCACAGACTTCCTAAACAACGTAACAGCTGAAGGAAGGATGCCAGATGCGTGGAGGAGCAGCACAATCGTCCCCATCTTCAAGAAAGGGGACGCGACGGAGTGCTCCAACTACCGCGGCATCAAGTTGACTCCCCATACCATGAAGCTGTACGAGCGCCTGGTCAACACAAGGCTAAGGGAACTTGTCCCGATCTCGCAGGAACAGTTCGGCTTCATGCCCGAGAGGTCCACCACCGATGCCATCTTCATCGCCAGACAGCTGATGGAGAAGTACAGAGAGAAGCGGCGACCCTGCTACCTAGCCTTCCTGGACCTTGAGAAGGCATTCGACCGCCTGCCTCGGCCTGTACTCTGGAGAGCGCTCAGAGAACGTAACGTTCCGGAGCACCTGATCTCCATAGTGAAGGATATGTACGATGGGGCTAAAGCAGCTGTACGCACCCCTCACGGCTTGACGAAGGGTAAACATCACGGTTGGGTACACCAAGGATCAGCCCTCAGCCCGTTCCTCTTCCTCCTGACTCTAGATGTCATGGCAAAAGAACTCATGGAGGGACCACTGAAAACCATCCTCTACGCTGACGACATCGCCCTGATAGCGGACAGCAGGGAAGAACTCCAAGACAAGGTGCAGCAGTGGCAGTATCTGCTCGCTGAAAATGGACTCCGGCTGAACGTAAAGAAGACCAAGTTCCTGAGCTCCGAAGAGTGCACTGAACCCATCGTAGATCGCCATGGCGAGAGCATCGAAAGGGTCGAGGACTTCCAGTACCTGGGGAGCAACCTAGCAGCTGATGGCAGCGTGGATCAGGCGGTGAAGCCCGAATCAACGCAGCCTGGATGAAATGGAGGGAGTCCAGTGGCATCCTATGCGACCGACGGTGCTCGAGAACGCTCAAGGGCAAGGTGTACCGGGCAGTGGTAAGGCCTACAATGCTCTACAGCAGCGAATGCTGGCCCATCTGCAAGAACCATGAAAGGCAGCTACACTCAGCTGAAATGAGGATGCTGAGGTGGGCTTGCGGCTGGACACGACTCGACAGAGTCAGAAACGAGGACGTCAGAGCGGCCACACAGACCGCTCCGATCCAGCTGAAGGCACGAGAGCAGCGCCTGCGATGGTATGGGCACGTTCTGAGGAGGCCTGAAGATCACCCAATAAGGAAGGCATTGGAACTCGAGGTAGAGGGCAAGCGACCACGAGGAGCCCCAAAGAAGAGATGGAGGGACGTCATCAAGAGGGACCTCACGGAAATAAAAGCCACAGCAGAAGATGCAGTGGATCGGATCAAGTGGCGACATCTAACAAGAACAGCGGACCCTGCGACGGCGCGGGACTAACGCTAGGGAGAAGAAAGAAGAAGAAGAAGTTGATTTTTCTCGCTTCACGAACGTTGTAAGGGGGGGGGGAGAGTTCCGTACTTGCTCATTGCTGGGAGGGGTGGGCGTCGTATTTACTTTCTGGCCTTTCTAGGAGTGGTGGTTGACTTTCCAAACCATCCCCTAACCCGCTCGACGTCTCGATTCGATGAGGAGGGACAGACGGCCGGAGAGGGGGGAGTCGTACGGAGTCGACTACAATCCCCAACCAGTGATGTGCCCTGGGGTGGAGACACCCACTATCTGTAACATTCACAATGTGTGCTCTTCCTTCTATTACTGTAGAGAGGAGGTGAGCGCTAATAAGGATGACACGATGGTTTGTTTGTTTACGCGGCCGCTACGAATCAGCGTGTACTGCGCTTTCAAAGGTGAATGCGCTGAGATTTAGGTTTACAAAGTGGAGACCGTTGGCGATAGCTACATGACCGTTGGTGGGATTCCGGATCAGATCTCTGAACATGCTGAGATGATTTGCCACGTGGCCATAGGTCAGGACTTCTAATACTATTTGGATTTTTTTAGTTTAATTTTATTTTTGGTTTTTTTAATCACGATGAGGAGCTTCTAAGCACTGCTGCCACATGTTTGAATAGTGCTTGATCTGTGGCTAGTCATGTTTCTTGAGACTAACCCTTTCATTCTGGACCCACATGAACCACCGCGCTCTTCTCATTTGCAGTCCCTTTTTCTTATTGTTAACTAGGGGCACGGGCGAAACGGAAAGCAGACCACTTCCTTATAGAACCCCTATATAATAATTAACAGCTAACTAAAAAGGCTTATTCAAGGGCAATTCATGTTCCGCAAAGTGTTTCTCAAGCATTAAAATCACCATAAAGGTTAACTGTTCAGGAATGATGTGGGAAGCTCGATCAGTGCCGGAACCAGTGAATAAAAAACCTCTTCAAGTTCGAATCGGAATCCATTCAGGACCTCTTATAGCCGGTGTGGTGGCCGTAAAGATGCCCAGGTACTGAATTGTCCGAGCCTTCTTGTATAGATAAGCTAGATAATCAAGTTTAGGTATTGCCTGTTTGGTGACACCGTCAGCACAGCGTCATTGATGGAAACGAATGGCCTGCCCGGAAAGATCCACTGTAGCGATAAGGTAAACTATAGCCAACACATTAGAACACACATGTACGGTCAGGAGGTCCGAGTTGCGGCTTCATGTTTGCTGCAAGAGGGCCACAGAGGTTTGCGTGTGGCATTCCCACCAGTCTAAAGTTGCTTGCAGAAAATTAACGAACAGGAATGAGTCATCCGACAGACTAAGACGTTAATAGCGGCGCAAAACGCCGTGCATATCGTTGCGACTCGGATTTCCTGACACACATGCGGAGACATGAAGAAGAGCTACATCTACGCGGGGTATTTCTAGTGAGGATACCTGCATTCTTCCTGACTTGTTTTCAGACATCTCAAGAAATGCAAATTCTACTGGAACGTTTTCGAGTTTGATTGCCGGGGAAGCGTATACATCAAGGGGAAGGTTTGATTTTTGTCTAAAATGTGGCTCGGTCGCCTATCGGCAACTGTTGAATTTAGGGAGAGATGGTCACTCACTTTCTGCGGAAGAGCACCAAGAAGAGCGTATGGGAAATCATCGACAGAGAGCGAGGTAAAGTCTCTTGTGCAATCCGCGAATCTGTGATGCGCGCGGTCGCGATACAGCATGATTATCACTTTTGAAGCATGCACTTCTAACCACGTTATATTGTTTTTTTTTTTCGTCTTACACCACGCCGTACTTCACCGTGATTACGCCAGTAAGCAACCGCTTCGGCGACCGCGCGCGTCACCGCTGTGCAACACACGTACCTCATTCGATCGTTTTTTATGTACCTCATCGGTGCAACACGCGCTACTGTTCGATCGTGTTTTATGTACCTAATCCAGTCTCATCCGATTATTTCAGATGTCAATAAAAACTCCATCGACGGATACGAGGAACTCGAGACGGGCATGCCTTACTCCGAACCACATCAGACTATTATACAGCCAGTGACGGCTACTACATCAAAAACTTGCACAATTTCATAAATAGTTTTATGTGTTGTCACCAGTGCTCTGCAAAAGCAGTCATTGTGTTGAGAAAGCGTATTCTTTTCTTGCTTTTCAGCCCTGATTATGCTAAGTGAACGTCTCTCTCTAGGGACATCACCTCCCTACGTGCCTAAGTGTGTACGTTCGCTGCGGATGCAGTGGCGTGTTAGGGGCTGGGTTTGGCGCCGCCCTGACACGCCCCAGTATCTGCGGCGAAAACGACTGTAATTGCCGACAAGTTCCATTCAGAATGTAGAGGAGAGCAATGAAATCAATGAAGCAATGAAACCATTCAAACACTGTGACGCAAAATGTGATTTCTCTACTCCAAACCAAAAGAACTCTGAAATCAAATTAGTGTAAAAATATACACTTCACCAGAGATGGAGAATCCGTGGCTGCACATTTCATTGAGTTGAGGCGGCAGCTGCGCTCCTGGGGTGGGTATTGCAGTTCCAGAGCAGTTGCAACCACGACTTTGTCCAGTACAAGATAGAACAACACTTGTCAAATGGAAATGTTCCGCGAACGAGCATCCTACGCCTGCTCAAGTAGAGTACGCGGCCACGCTCACTCCAGTGCTTGAAAGTGCAGTATATGTGCAGTGAAGGGCTGTCAGTATTATGGGGATGTTCGGCTCAAGATGGGCAACTAACTACATAGTTCCCACGTTGAAGTAGAGACCTAGAAACCGTTATGAAGCTGTGAAGTGAGCGAAGCTGGTACAGGCCACTTTGTTAACCAGTTTGTTAGGTCCATGGACAAACAAACTCAATTTAGCGGCTCCAGCTTTCTGTTTTTCTCTACGCTCTCACGTCTGCATGTCGTTCTGTGACCGCTCTTACCTTTCACATTCCAACTTTTCACACATAATAAGTAACTCATTCACCACGGGGAGTTTAAAAAATTCTTTCGTGGCTCGCGACACGCCTGCTGTACCTCTCGATGTCTTGGCGGCCGAAGTTCTTTATTTCTCTGCGGGCTTTTCGCAGCAGGACCCTCACCAAAAGTTTCAGTTGTCACCTAACCCTTTGTTAAGATGTGTAGATTCTTGCAAAGCTAAACCAGCCATACGACTGTTTCCATGTCGCAGCTTCACAAGGGCTAGCAGGTCCAACGGAGATTAAAAAAAGTGAGGGGACTAGCCAACTAAAAAACACCTCCCTCTCAAGCTAAAGTGCCCGGTTCTGCATCCGAGTGGCTCCTGATTCACATCATTGCGAGCTCCAATGATTGCCCCCCCCCAAACAGAGCACACCATCCATCAGTAATCCCAACGAAGGATGTCTTATTTGGTTTGGTGAGAAGGGTCTGCACTACTGTGCAAGCCTGCGGGAGCTCTTACAGTCTACAGGGTACAGCATTGTTATGTGGAACACATGGGTCGGACTTGGCCGCTGAGGAGAGGGGGGGGGCGTATGTGCCTCTGAGAGAAATTTGCCGCGTTGGGAAAAATTTTCCAATTGTTGACTTTTCGTTGTTTTTACCGTTTCTTATTGGCTAAATACTCCTCCCTCCCCTTGCGCTGGACAGCAACAATTTTGGAGGGAAAGTGAGGAAAATTTTCGGGGCATTCCGGAAAAAAGTGGTAGGAAGCTGGGAACAGGAAAGTGGTAGGTACATGTTGGGGAGGGGAGCCGTACCGAGACCCTCCCTCGAGGTGGAGGGGGGTCGTGCTGACACTACCATTTCACACATCACGATGCTGTAGCTTGCTTGTAGGAGGAAGATGATTCGCTGTCTGTCATGCATCAAAAGAATTTTGTTTCCTGTGGTTACTGGGGTCTGTCAGGAGGCTTGGCATGAAACGGCCTGTTATCCACCAACTCCTGAGGTGGGTAGGCGACAATGACGCCTTTGAAGGACCAATCGTAGGGCCGCGATTTCTGCAACCGAGAGAGCATGAGATGAGATTTTCCATCAATGAAACGGTCCTGACCACGACTGGTGGGAAATCTGATTTAGTTACGCTCCACGCCATGCTCACGTCACACGCCCCCGCCAGCGTCACCGGGGCGTGAAATCTCTTCGTCACAAAGACGTTGTTCATTTACCCCAAGTTGCTAACTTAATGGACTCATTTAATAGTCTTCTAGCCATTAGGGCGATCTTAGTTTTGCAAAGCAAAACAATGCTCCACCACACGATTTATAGCCGTCATCCGGTGACTTAATTGAGGAGGCAAGGGACGCCTATCAACTGCCCGGATGACGAGGGTAACTTTGGTGCCAGAGAGACATTGGGAGTTTTCTGGATAAAGCACTATAATCCTAGCATGATTAATAGGAACGAATGCAAGGCGACAACTTCTAATTTGCCGTACATTACACCTTGTCAGTTCTGATGTCTTACTGTAGCGCTTGTACCGCAATCACTGCGATTGAGGGGAGCCTCTTCTAGTCTTTATTTGTATTCGTGAATGAGCTGGTCTCATCTGGGCGTCTGGACTTGCCCAGATGGGATTGAGGTGGGACGTTCGATGGACTATTGCTCTGCCTGGCATTCATCGACGAAAGTGCAACTGGTCAGAGCAAGAGTAAAAACGAACGGAAAGCAGACCACTCCTTATAGACCCCCTCTATAATAATTGACAGCTAACTTAAAAGCTTATTCGAGGGCAATTCATGTCCCGCAAAGTGTTTCTCAAGCATTAAAATCATCAATAAAGTTAACTGGTTCAGGAATGATGTGGGAAGCTCGATCAGTGCCGGAACCAGTGAATAAAAAACCTCTTCAAGTTCGAATCGGAATCCATTCAGGACCTCTTATAGCCGGTGTGGTGGCCGTACGGATGCCCAGGTACTGAAATGTCCGAGCCTTCTTATATGGATAAGCTAGGTAATTAAGTTTAGGTATTGCCTGTTTGGTGACACCGTCAGCACAGCGTCATTGATGGAAACGAATGGCCTGCCCGGAAAGATCCACTGTAGCGATAAGGTATACTCGAGATCCCTGAGATCGGGTAGGCGTGGCCGCATGTTTCAACTTACCTGGGCTTCGTACGCTCTGATGCCATTTTTTCACCGCTCGACACAAATTGTTGTCATGTCTGCTGTCCAAAACAATGACAGTTTGCCGCAGACTGCAATATTGCACTGGTAACTAGTTCCGTACCGGATGCCCGCCTACGCGATTCAGGTACTTCGTGTATAAGATATATCCAACACATTAAGATCCACACACTGGTACGGGTCAGGAGGCTCGAGTTGCGACTGCCAGCGTTGCTGAAGAGAGGCAAGAGGTCGTTGCGTACGGTGCATTCGCACAGTCTCCAGTTGCTTAGTAGTATTACGACAGGAAATGAGTCATTCCAGACTAAGAAGTAAGTAGCGCGCAACGCCGTGCATATCGTCGCGACTCGGATTTCCACTCACCTGCGGAGGCATGGAGAACAGCTTCATCTACGTGGGGTATCTCAAGTGGGAATAACTGCTTACCTGCTGCATTCTCCCTGATGTTTTCCAGACATTCAAAATTGCAAATTCTAGACTGGAGTACGTTTCGAAGTTTGATTGCCGGGGAAGCGTATACATCAAGGGGAAGGTTTGATTTTTGTCTAAAATGTGGTGCGGTCGCCAATCAGCAACTGTTGAATTTAGGGAGAGATGGTCACTCACTTTCTGCGGAAGAGCACCAAGAAGAGCATATGGGAAATCATCGACAGAGAGCGAGGTAAATTGTACAATCCGCGCCCTGTGATGCGCGCGTGTTCGCGATACACATGATTTATCACCCGTTTGTTTTGGTACCAGCGTTATAATTGTTTTCTTTTCGTCATACATCACGCCTACTATCGACGTGATTCGCGGTTCGCCGCCGCTTTCGGCAGACGCGCGCATCAGCGCTGTACAACACGCGCTACTGTTCGATCGTGTTTTATGTACGTAATCCAGTCTCATCCGGTTATTTCAGATGTCAATAAACTCCATCCGACGGATACGAGAACTCGAGACGGCATGCTACTCAGCGAACCACATCAGACTATTATACAGCCAGTGACGGCTACTACATCAAAAACTTGCACAATTTCATAAATAGTTTATGTGTTGTCACCAGTGCTCTGCAAAAGCAGTCATTGTGTTGAAAAGCGTATTCTTTTCTTGCTTTTCAGCCCTGATTATGCTAAGTGAACGTCTCTCTAGGGATATCACCTCCTTACGTGCCTAACTATAAGGGTGTACGTTCGCTGTGGATGCAGTGGCGTGTTAGGGGCTGGGTTTGGCGCAGCCCTGACACGCCCAACACGCCCCCAGTTTGCGGAATGCGAAAGATCGACTGTGGATCTGGCGACAAGTTTCCATTAGAATGTAGAGGAGAGCAATAGAAATCAATAAAGAATGAAACGCCATTCAAACCTGTTGACGCAAATGTGATTTCTCTACTCCAAACGCTAAAAGAACTCTGCAATCATTAGTGTAACAATATGCACTTCACCAGAGATGGAGAATCCGTGGCTGCACATTTCATTGAGTTGAGGCGGCAGCTGCGCTCCTGGGGTGGGAATTGCAGTTCCAGAGCAGTTGCAACCACGACTTTGTCCAGTACAAGATAGAACAACACTTGTCAAATGGAAATGTTCCGCGAACCGAGCCTATTATCCTGAAGCGCCTGCTCAACGTAGGTACGCGGCAACGCTCAGCTGCCAGTGCTGTTGAAAGTGCAGTATAATGTGCAGTGAACCGGGCCTGTCAGTATTATGGCTGGATGTTTCGGGCTCAGATGGAGCAACTAACTACCTTAGTTCGGCGAAGTTGACTTGAGAAGTGATTGCAACTTGACCATTATGAACATAAACCAACAACACACTTAAAAGCGTCCCTAAGATAAATAATTACGCATTGATGAAACTGTCATGAAACGCCAGTCGAACATCCGGAGACTTGTAAGAACAGAACCAAAAACCATGAAGAATTTTCCAACCTTGGAAAAGGAGGACTGTCGAAAAACTTTTGCAGTATAACTGAGAGAAATGATTTCTTCACTGATGACAGCTTGCCTTTTCAGAAGGAACCATTGTCAAGTGAAGAAAAGAAAAATGAATGAGAGAATGCGCGTAAAAAAAAACCGGACCAATCGCTTGGGGTACGTCCACTTGTGGACGTGCAGTTCTCAGATTGCCGGTTGTAGAGAAAGCTAGGCGTTGCTGAGTCGCTGGGAGCATGTGCTTCTTTCGAAAAAACGCTACAGGGCGCCTAGCTGTCCGTGGCAGGGTACAGCATCGTTGTGCGAAACCCATGGGGGGTCGTACTTGGCCGCTGGGGAGGGGGGTCGTAATCTCAAGGGTCACTCAGAGCCGGGCAATGCTTCGACATTTCAGTTGATAGTGGGAGTGGAGCTATGGAAGTCAAGATGTTTAAAAAAATGAAAATTATGAGTGTATTCTTTACAGATTTAACTGCTACGTTTAACAGCCCTCTTTTCATGGAAATCCCCAAAAATTCGTACTTGGCCGCGGGGGACGTGGGGAGTATCGCAAAAGTAGGCTCGCTAGGCATCAAACAGTACAAAAGTGTCATTGCTAAGTTTGATGGAACGGACGGAAAGCTGCAGAAGACCCGGATGTAAGGAGGACTACAAAATAATAAAAAATTTCTAGCGATATAAAAAAACATCTGCTTGCATGGAAAAAGCACCTGAAATCAGAATTTACACCTTTCCACCACCTCTGCGTAGGAGCGTAATGCACGGCGCACACTCGGACCAAATCGATCAGTGATAGCCGAGCTCCTCTTTCACTCATTTGAAGGGAAATATGTGTTTTGAAGGCACACTGAAGTTTCCGAAGGTATATCCTCTCAATGGCACAGGAGGAGTCGATTTTTCGGGTGGGT